CTTTTGCTCACCTAAATGTAATTTTCACTCTCCATTGTCAATCATGTCTGCAGAAGCAGATTGGATGGGTTTTCAAGACTGTTTGAGCAACAGACAATCCCCAACTATGTTTAAGTGGAGCCAATTGTGCAAATATAGCCTGTGTGATTATTGATGATTCAGGGTGTTATGTAACCTTACACACACACACACACACACACACACACACACACACACACAGGGGGGGGAAGAGTAAATCATATTTAACTGTGCAGAAATATATTTTGCAAATATTTTGGCAGTGCACAACTGACCTTGCTTGAGTCAACTTGAGCAATTGGCTTTGAAGGCACCTGCTGGGGTGTTCACTTCACTGCAGAAGATTTGCAGACATGTTCCCTACAGGCCCATCAATGTCTCATTTTTATTTATCAAACTGAAAAGTAGAACTGCTCTCAGCATTGGCTCAGGGACTGAGTTTGCAGTAAACTTTCTTCCTGCTTGCATTTCTTGATCAGCAAAGAACTGCACTATAATTGTTTATTATTATTATTTTTAAAAAATAATAATAAGATATACATATGTACATCCAGGCCATTTAATTCCCTTTTGGAGCTAAGCAATATTATGCAAAGGACTAAAAAACAATAAATGAATTAAGCAGAATAAATCCAGAGTGAGAAAATTGAACCAGGAGTATCGCTAGTTCTAATTTATATCATGGAGTTTAAGCCATGGTCGACCGGAGTCTACTGGACTGGGCAGTCATCACAAATTTAATTAAGTAAGTGATCAGCATTAAGTAGCCTTTTATATATTGACCTCTACAGCCCAATATGGCTTTGATCAAGTAAAGCTTTCACGTAGTGCTTTTTAATAAGTTAGAGGAGAGATTAAATATTTGTGACAAGTGGTATGTTGCTTGCTACTTCAAATAAAATTTCGTTCAATATGGGCCCGTTTGGGTCAATATGTAACACATACAATGACAATCCAATTTTATCTCAAGCATTCATTCTGCTGCTATCCTGTGCAAGATAGGATTTCTAACCTGGAGACTAGTGTGCAAACTAACATAGCCAGTTTGGTGTAGTGATCCTGGTCTAGAAACCAGAAGACAGTGAAAGCTGGTTGGGTGACTTTGGACCAATCATAAGGAGACTATGAGTTGTAGTCCCACCTTAGGTATGAAAGCCAGCTGGGTGATTTTGGGCAAATCACCAGGAGACTATGACTTCTAGTCCCGCCTTAGGCGTGAAAGCCGGTTGGGTGACTTTGGGCCAATCACCAGGAGACTATGACTTCTAGTCCCACCTTAGGCATGAAAGCCGGTTGGGTGACTTTGGGCCAATCATCAGGAGACTATGACTTCTAGTCCCACCTTAGCTATGAACGTTGACTGGATGACTTTGGATGACTAGTCCCATCTTAGGCATGAAAGCCAGTTGGGTGACTGGGTCAGTCACTCAATCTCGACCCAATCTATCTCTCACAGGATTATCGTTGTGAGGAAATTAGGAGGAAGAAAAAGGAATATTATGTATGTACACTGCCTTTAGTTACCTATAAAGCAATAAAGACAGGACAAACATCAATTAAATAAATAAATGCCGTCATTCATGTCCTACCAACTTAAATACCCTTTGGATATTAACATACAGCCATCCATTGCACCCTATCCTTAAATTCTTTCCACCACAACTCTTCCCAATTTCTCTTCACTTAGTCACGTAAAGCAGCCTTTTCTCAAACAGGTACCCTCCAGATGTTCTGAAGTTACAGCTCCCCCATTTTCTCATCCCAACACACATCTGGAGGGCCTCAATGCTGGAAGGATGGGCTGAAATGCAAATTCTGCAGAAGCACCCTGGAAAAGAAACAGCTTCCTCCTTCTTTGCTTTAAGAAGCTGTTTCTTTTGTGGTTTCCTTTTTGGGTTGTGTGTCAATTTCCTCTTCAAATGTCTGCTATCAGATTTAGGATTAGTGTAGCACACCCTGTGCTCAGTTGCTAGGGATTATTTCAGATGAAGTAATACTTGATTTGCAGCTTAGATTCACACAACATCCATTAATGATGAAAACCTCTGGGTTGATGGGATTTGAAATGAAGATAACAATAACAGAGTTGAAAGGGACCTTGGAGGTCTTCTAGTCCTCAGGAAATCCTATACCATTTCGGACAAATGGTTGTCCAGTCTTAAAAACTTCCACTGTTGGAGCATTCACAGCTTCTGGAGGCAGATTGTTCCACTGGTTAATTGTTCTAACTGTCAGGAAATCCTCCTTAGTTCTAGGTTGCTTCTCTCTTCAATTAGTTTCCATCTGTTGCTTCTTGTGAATGGTACAGCTATAGATGTACAAATAGAAGATAAAATTGGTAACTCAGGGTTGAACTGTCAGGACTTTGGTGCTCTCTGAGCTTGGGTGTTTTCTTGCAGACCTTTCATTACCTAACTAGGTAACATCATTACTGCTCTAAGGAACGGGATTTGTTTGTTTTCTTTAGTACACAAGTGGCTTGCCTCAGTGTTGGTGAGAGAAAGAAGAATGTTGTCTCCAAGAACCAACACTGACAGGGCAAGCTGCTGGTATATAAACAGAGAGCAAACCCCACTCCCTTTTGGCTCTGATGATGTTATCTAACTGGGTAATGAAACGTCTGCAAGAACACCACCAAACTCACAGAACATTAAGGACCCCACAGATCTACAGAACAGTATCTGCAGATTTGTTTCCTTATCTTGGCTTGGCAGCGTCCTAAGCCAAGATAAACAGTCCTAAGCCTGTTTCCATGCAGCAAGGTTCACCTTTACTCTGATGCAGCATGCAAAAGATTTTCACGGATGATTTGTGGGACAGAAGCATCTCAGGGGCTAAAATATAAGCAGTCCTCAACTTAACGACCACAATTGAGCGCAAACGTTTTGTCGCGAAACGAGACAGTTGCTCAGTGAATTTTGCCACATTTTGCAACCATCAAGTGAACCCAGCTTCCCCATTGACTTTGCTTGTCGGAAGGTCGCCGGGACACAACAACCGTCATAACTCTGAGTCGGTTGCCAAGTGGCCGAATTTTGATCACATGACCATGGGGAGGCTGCAACGGTCGTTAAGTGTGAAAAATGGTCATAAGCTACTTTTTCCAGTGCCTTGGTAATTTGGAACAGTCACTAAACAAACTGTTATAAGTTGAGGACTTCCTATTGGATCCAGCTCTGAAGCCTTTCCTGCCCCTTCTGCTCTCTTTTTTTCTGTCCTTTTATCAATTTTGATCCTGCCATTGCTGAAATGCTTCAGCTTCTTATCTGTCCTATACAAGAATGCACTCATGAGCACATCTGACTTACACTTTGGCAATTTTTTTTTTTTAATGGTAGAAATGGGCCTGGCCGTACATGCCATGGATTTTCTGCCGAACGAGGGAATTGTTCTAAAATTAGACTCTGCCATGCCAGGAAAGCTTGGAGCACTTAAGTTCCTTTTGCAGTAATATTTCTTTTCTGAGATAAGCATAATAATGTGTCACATTAGCTTCCGCCGTTATGCTTCAGGGCGCAAGGCACTTAGGTGACAAGTGAAATAAGCAATTAAGTGTTTATTATTGAGGTTTGCCATCAGGACCGGTGCCTGGGAGAGGAACTCATGAAAAAATGGAATACGGGAACCCCAACGTACGTCCTGTGATCGAGTTGACGTTTTTGTGGGAACAGAGATAACCAACTCCCGGTCTGTAGACTAGTACCAGGCCGTGACATACTAGCCACCGGTCCGCACAAACAAGAAAAGCCCCATCTGCGAGATGCAGGCAGCACACAAAACCATATTCTGATCCACGAAAAAACCTCTCTCCACAGAACCGGTCCCTGGTGTCCAAAAAGTTGGGGACATCTGTTCTAATCCAACCCCCTGCTCAAGCAGGAGACCTTAAACCTTTCCAGATAAATGGCTATCCAATCTCTTCTTAAAAACCTCCAGTGATGGATTATAGAGAGTCTCAATCATCCAGGTCATGGTAGTCCCAAGTTGCTTTTCCAAAAGTCAACTGGACTTTCTGGGGTTTTTTTTTCCCTTGAAAACTTTTCACTTCTCACCCAAGAAGCTTCTTCAGTTCTTCAGTTTAGAACTGAAGCAGTGGTTCTCAACCTTTTTAATGCCGTGACCCCCAACCGGTCGTAAGTCGAGGACTACTCAACTGGTGCAGCACCGTTTGCACAATGGGACTTTTGGCGGGCTCAGCAGGGCAGAGACAGCCTGGACAATTCCTATTGGCTTTCAAAAGCCAATAGAATAAAAGGGAGTAGCACAGCTAAGGAAAAGGGGGGAAAATGGCGGACTGTGTTGTTTGGCGTCCCCCATGAAATGGTCGTTCGACCCCAAATGGGGTCCCGACCCACAGGCTGAGAACCACTGAACTGAAGAAGCTTATTGGATGAGAAATGAAACATTTTCAAGGGGAAAAAAAAACAAGAAAATCCAGCTGTCTTTTGGAAAAGCACTTTGGGACCTCCAGTGTTGGAGGACCCACAGCTTCTGGAGGCAAGGCGTTCGACTGATTAATTGTCCTCACTGTCAGGAAATTTCTCCTGAGGTCTAGGTTGCTTCTCTCCTTGATTAGTTTCCATCCATTGCTTCTTGTCCTGCCTTCAGGTGCTTTGGAGAATAGCTTGACCCTGCCCACTCTGTGACCTAGAATAGTCTGGGGCATAGATTTAGACAGGAACATGAGAAATATCCCATTGATAGAAGTGATTCAATTTTCCAACTGGTTTGACTCTAGGTAACCCAATACATCTCATTTCCCCAGGTTATCCTGTCAACTACTTTTTTTTAGTTCTCCTAGATCAGGGGTAGGCAACCTTGGCTCTTTTATGACTCGTGGACTTCAACTCCCAGAATTCCTGAGCCAGCATGGCTCGGCTTGGAAACCTCTTCCTTTCCCCTCAGGATGGCTGGCTCAGGAATTCTGGGAGTTGAAGTCCACAAGTCATAAAAGAGCCAAGGTTGCCTACCCCTGTCCTAAGTCCTCATGTTCATACTATCATTGATATTATCTGGTCTTCTTGTTCTCTACCAGCCATTTTTTCTAATTGCTTTGACTTGTCCAAACATTAAGATCCTCTTCACAGATCTCCCCTTACCTTGGCATATAGGAATCTCAAAAGTTATCTTCTCAGTCTCTGCCTCTCCCTCAAAATTCAAGTCTCCGCATAAGAAAGGAAGGCACTTTGTACATGCTTAGAGGATTTGGTTTTCAATATAATGTATTGACTGTTTATTGAAAGGACCAAGGGCCATGTCCTCAGATAGGACCATTTTCACTTGAGAAGGCTCATTTAACAGAGGATAGAAAAGTGACTTCATATTTGTTGTACATTTAACCTCTAACTTCTAATAACCATCAAGGGCTAAGAAAGAATCTGAGTTTCATCACTGAGTAGAAACTTAAACCCGTTGTTTTTTTTTTAATGCTTCTTTCATGGTGGATATGAAAGTAGGAAATGTAGATCTTAAAAAAACAGATTGAAAGGCTTCTTCATGGAGCAGAAGACAATTACCGTGCCCTCTGTTTCTTTCTTAAAACCACTGATAAAGCTGCTAGCATTTCCAAGAAAGAAAGAAAAAAGCATTGACTTAGTGTGAAAGGGACTTGGGAAGTCATAAGTAACGGAAGCTGTAGCCTGTGACGCAACCACAAAGGAAACGGAGAGGCCGTCGTGAAACCTTGGGTTGCAAAGACACACACTCAGAATTACCCAAACTGTTGCGACGCAGCAAAAAAGGCGCAAGGAACTAGCCCTAATTCTCAGATCTGCACCAAGACAATGAGGTACAGCGTCATTTTTTCCTTTTATTCCCCTTAAAACATGTCTTCTATTTTCATCTGAAAGAAGCTTCTCCTATGGGAACTGAAAGGTGCTGAGATGTGGAGCGGCAGTCCCACGGCAGTGGTTGTCCTGCAAAACTGGTGTTGTTCTTCTTTGCAGTTTTGGTTCTAGTTGTGGAACATGGCAGCAAGTGTTAGAACAATTAATTAATTAATTAATTAATTAACAGTTAATGAATTAAAAGCCAGACCGATTCATCCAGAAATTGTGGGTGTTCCAACACTGGAGGTTCTGAAGAGATTGGATACATGCCATGCCACATATTCAATAATCTTGATATTCTTCTATTCTTGGGTTGAAAAAGGAAGGTCTTCATTTTTCATAGATGGTAGCCTAGCATTTGTCCACGAGGTAGAGAAATTTGAAACAGTTAAAAAGGTTTTCACGAGTTTTAAAAAAAAAAGTTTAATGTGTCAGACATTCTGTTTGTTTTAGTTTCTTGGAGTGATGTTGTCTTTCCAATTTTTTCATTAGTGCTGCAAGTATTCCTGAGGTTCTGAACTTTGCTCTCCTTAGAAAACGTGATCCTACTGCTGGAATAAATAACTATATTCTGGATGTTGCGGGATGATACTCTCGCAGCGTTTTGAAAACTAAACAGAATGTACGTGGAATTGAAGGTGATTATTAGGATTCGTTGTACAGTTAGCCAGATGTTTAGACTGGATCTGGCCCTTCTGTCCACCTATCCAGTCCTTCTCAAGCATCTATTCTTAATTTTTTTAGTCTGGAAGGACTCCTTACAGCAGCGCCATCAATGGATTAGCAGCCATGTTGTGCTTTATCTTTCACTTTTATTCCCCTTCCTTTTTTCTCTGCTTCCTCTTTTGCCTTCTGCTGGTTTCCCGCTGATACATTTTGAGCTTCTGAGGTTTGTTCTTGTTATGTGAAACCACTGCCCTAAGAACTTAATATGAATCATCTGTAGAGATGTTGCTATCATTCTTTCTTTCCATAACCATAAGCAGGAGATTCTGAAATTCAGGTCCCACCTAACTGCTAAACATTTCATTTCACTATCTCAGGTGGTGTTCATCTACCTCAGAGGTCTTCAAACTTGGCAACTTTAAGACTTGTGGACTTCAACTCCCAGAATTCCTCAGCCAGCCAGGGCTGGCTGAGGGATTCTGGGAGTTGAAGTCCATAAGTTTTAAAGTTGTCAAGTTTGAAGACCACTGATCTACCTCCTCAAAGATCATTAGAAAGGAGAGCTTCCATCTTAAGGCCAACTGCTTTAGGAAATAGCTTGGGCAGGACTTCTCTTCGATGCTCTAAGGCAGGGGTCTTCAAACTTGGCCCTTTGATGACTTGTGGACTTCAACTTCCAGAATTCCTTAGCCAGGAATTCTGGGAGTTGAAGTCCACAAGTCATCAAAGGGCCAAGTTTGAAGACCCCCTGCTCTAAGGCAGACATGTCAAACTCGCGACATCACGTGACACCGCACAACGTATCGGAGCTCTTTTGCCATTGCCGGCAATGGGGTGGGCGCGGCTCCAGTATGATGAAACCAGTCCGCGGGCCGGCAGTTTGACACCTCTGCTCTAAGGCCACCAAATTACACCCTAACTATCTCCAAGGCTGAAACCAAGATAGTTTTATGAGATGGTCAAGATTAGAAGAATGAGACTATCAGATGCCTCCATCATTGTCAGTGAGGGATCCCTGGTGCTCTCTGAGCTTGGTGGTTTTCTTGCCAACATGTCATGACCCAAACTAGATAGCATCCTACTGATGATGATGTTACCTAGTTTGGGTAATGAACGTCTGCAAGAAAACCACCAAGCTCAGAGACCACCAAGGATCTCTCATTTTCAACCCTGTGCTACAAATATTCTCCTTTATTGGTACCGTTGCCAGTTTCTGATTTTTGATTTAGTCTGTCAACCTGTAGGTGTGTGATTTACCTTTACTATAACTTCCAGTACTCTAAGGAAGCAAACCACAACACCAAAGGAACCTGAGAATGATAGTTTAATAATATCAAGAGGACTTTCGTTTCCTCAGCCATGCTACTACCTTCTTAAACCGGAAACTAGCTGCAAAGCTCACGAGAGTACTGTACTTTAAGAGCTTGCTGGAAGACCAAGGCGAGAGAGGGATTGCATGGTGTTATTTATTTTATTTTAATTTTTTTTTTTAAAAAAAGCAACAGGAATCTCCACTAATTCTGCTGAATCTTCTATTAATTGTCAAATGTGTAGACCAGGGGTAGGCAACCTTGGCTCTTTTATGACTTGTGGACTTCAACTCCCAGAATTCCTGAGCCAGCATGGCTCACCATGGAAACCGCTCCCTTTCTCCTCAGCATGGCTGGCTCAGGAATTCTGGGAGTTGAAGTCCACAAGTCATAAAAGAGCCAAGGTTGCCGAGCCCTGGTGTAGACCAGTGTTTCTCAACCCTGGCAACTTGAAGATGAGTGGACCTCAACTCCCAGAATTCCCACCAGCATACCAGAGGGGAAAAATTCTGGGAGTTGAAGTCCACGTGCCTTCAAGTTGCCACAGCTGAGAAACACTGGTGTAGAACACGGGTCTTCAAACTTGGCAACTTTAAGACTCATGGACTTCAACTCCTGGCTGAGAAATTCTGGGAGTTGAAGTCCAGAGGTCTTAAAGTTGCCAAGTTTGAAGACCCCTGGTGTAGAACATAATCTTGATGGAACAGAACTGAGTTTGGGAAGATAAAACCCCAATCCTGAATATGACCAAATCTGGGGAAATGGAGGATTTTGTATTTGTGGCAGCTGAAAGGGGGCATCTTTTGCATCTTTTCAGTCACCCTGAAATTGATTTTGATCAAAGGCCCCCCAAAAGCAGAGTTGGGGGACAATGGGAATAGCTCTTAAAGAACTCTTTCATTAGAACTGAATAATGACATAGTGTAAATTATTCTCCATCTAACTCTTGATTTAGAAAAAGAGAGAATTGCAACCGAAAGAAAACAAAAGAAATTTTGGGATAGTTTATTGGACAAAAACTAGCAGAAATATTAACTTCAGTATAGGGATGGGCCATATTTTGAAAGTCTTATTTTTAAAAAATAAGACTCATTCTTGGTGTATTCATGCCATAAAGGAAACTAGAAGAATTTGGCATTATCTTTACAGTTCAGTCACTCTCCACACTAAATATCCTTGTAAAAATTGAACTGCACTGTATTTTAAAGATGTAGCAAGTCCAGACTGAGAATTACGGCTATATAGCTTAATGGGCCTTCACAGATTGCCACACTAGGTTGTGTCAATCATTTTACAAATGGAATTACTGTTTCAGTGGAATTCTCTGGAGATTCCCTTGTGGTTCAACTAGAAAAAAAATACAGATTATAATCCTGATTGATGGTCCCACAAACAGCATGTTGTCTGGTTTCATGTGTTTAAAAAACGATCAATAATAATTAGTTTCTATATTTTCATAATCGATATGTTGGTTGATAACATATTTCTTAAATCTTCTCTTCACCCGATAGTCTTCTTCTTACTAATACATATTTAATGGTACATAGTATATATTACATTCCTTTCTCCGTACTCATTTCTCTAGCCATTGATAAAAATTGTCCCATGTTCTAAGTATACTGAATCTTCTTTCTCTTTTATCTTCAATGTCAATCTGTCCATTTCTGCAGTCCAAATTTATTTTTTAATTAATTCTTCTTCCGTTGATAGGTTTTCATTTTTCCAATATTGAGCAAATATTATTCATGCTGCAATTAATACATGTCAAATTAAGCATATACATTCTTTCTCATAGTTTCCTACTATTATGCCTAACAGAAACAATTCTGTCTTAAAGTCTATATGTTTTTTAGTCATTTTCTCTAACCTCGGGGGGCTGGGTGGGCTTGGATGGAGTGGGTGTGGCCTACTGGGTGGGTGTGGCCAGCTCTACATCATTTGCGTCAAGGGAGCCTGTGCAGGCCTGGGCAGGAATGGGACAGGTCTGAGGGTCTCTAGCAGAAGGGGGTGGGACCAGGGCAGAGCCCATCAAGCCGGATATGTGAAGTAGGCGAGGGCCATTTGCTGGCCACTTCCAGGCGATGGTGCGTTTCTTCATTCTTCACAAAGGGTGACACCTCCCCAGCATGCACTCAGGGGGCGGGGCCAATGCGGCAGGGGCCGGTCCCTTGCTGTTTCCAGACGGCCTTGTGGAGCTAAGACTGAATGCGTTTCAGCATAGATGGCCACCACAAAATTGTATATTGGCTCCCGGCCGGTCTGGGCCAGGGCCAAGGCAGAGGGGGCCGTTCCCTCACTATTTCCAGGATGGCTTCATGGGCCACATGAAACCACTTCGTGGGCCGCATCCAACCCCCGGGCCTTGTGTTTGACATGTCTGCTCTAACCATATGTGTATTTTTGACCAAAATCTTTTAGCTTTAGGGCATGTCCAACAGATATGATAGTAAGTACTTGGTTTTTGTTTACATTTCCCACACTTGCTAGATTCTTTTTGTAGCCTTTGGTGTCTCAAGATCACTAGGTCAGAGATAACGGTGGGCAGCCATTCTTAAACCTAATGATATGGCTGGTATTCTTTCTACTTTTTCATTTTGCGGTAACGGAGATATCAAAACCTACCAGGGCAATGCAGCCAGTGGCTAGCACTTATGCCCTGGTGGCGCAGTGCTTAGAGTACAGCGTTGCAGGCAAACTCTGCTCACAGCCTGGAGTTCGATCCTGATGGAACTCCAGGTTGGCCTTCCCTCTTTCCGAGATCGGTAAAGCTGGCTGAGGAATTCTGGGAGTTGAAGTCCACAAGTCTTAAAGTTGCCAAGGTTGAGGACCCCTGCTGTAAAGCACTATGGGGCAGTTTATAAGTCTAAATGCTATTGTTATTGCTATGCAAGTCTTATTCAATATGAGGCTTTCTTTGGTCTTTTTTCACACGGTGCAACATGGGTCGCACGTGTGCACTCACGCCTACATATAGATATGCAAAG